GGCGGAGACGGCGGAGGAGAGGCTGACGGCGGAGCTGGAGGCGGCATGCGATGCTGACGTGGACACCCTGAGGGAATTGGCGGCGGCGATGGCGGAGGAGATGAAAAAGGGATTGAGATCTGAGGATGAGGCAAAGATCAAGATGCTGATCTCTTTTGTTCATACTCTTCCTGACTGGTAATTAAATTTCTTCTCATACGGGTTCTTTTCGGGCCAATGATTCGGTGGTCAACTTATTGAAAGATAGATATGGAATTTAGTGACCAACATATATATATATACAAGTAGAAAGAAAAACAGAACTGATATGCAATCAAGGAAATATCTGAACAGAAAAATATGATGGAATGAAAAAGATCTTGAGCGGGAAAGACTGAATCAGCTCGCCAGCCTAGCTCGGACCGGGAAATCAGACCGGAAATAACCAGGAGCTCTAATACAACTGAAGTTTATGTGTTCTGTTCAGTTGCATTAAATCCATATCGATATGGGCCCACTCTTTCAAACTGTCAACGAACAATGGCGCATTTAGTTTCAGGCAGAACAAGCAAATGGATCTGTGAAACTTGTCCGAACATTAACATGTTTCTGTAACAGCAAAGGCTCGAATCCTTGCCCTTTGCCGAGAAGCTAATATGTACGGAACCATTATCGTGTTTTTTTTTTCATCTTCAGGAAAGCGAAAGGGATTTTCTACGCGCTGGACGTAGGAGGAACCAATTTCAGGATCTTAAGGGTTTCCCTCGGAGGCGGGGAATCATCTCTAGAGGTTCAGGACATGGAAATACAACATATTCCCCAAGATCTGATGAAAGGAACGAGCGAGGTCGGTTTCTTCAGAGATCTTTACCTCCTTCACAGGTGTTTTTTTCATCGGCATTTCGATTCGAAATCCATTCTTGTTTTGCAGGCTTTCTTCGATTTCTTAGCCTCGTCGATAGAGAGATTCGTCGGGAAGGAAGGAAAGGATGCTGTTTCTGATTTGGGAAAAAGGCAGTTGGGGTTCACATTCTCGTTCCCGATTAAGCAGACGTCTGTTTCATCCGGGAATCTCATCCGGTGGACAAAAGGGTTCGCGATAAAAGACGCGGTTAGTCGGCCAAGTAACCCTTTCTGTCGTCCTCTCCCCGAAAAAAGACAATGTAGAAACTTCCGATACCGTCATCTTTAAGAGCCGCTTCTGTTGAAATCCCAGCAGGTGCATAAAGAGGTTTCGGGACTTCTCCAAGCAGCGTTGGACAAGAGAGGGGTCAATATGCAAGTCACGGCCCTTGTAAGTAGCTCAAACCGGAGCAGCAAAATATTTATTTCCTTACAATATGTTTTTTTCTTTCGGGATATAAACGTTTGAAGCATCGGACCGTCTTTTTGATGGAAAAAAGGTGAACGATACCGTAGGATCGCTAGCTCTCGCGCATTACAACGATCAAGACACGGTTGCTGCAGTTATTATAGGGACTGGTACCAATGCCGCTTATGTGGAGCAAACGAAAAATATAACAAAGTCTCCGGCGTTAGCCGAGGATTCCACACAAATGGTACGCTTCCTATTACTACGGAAAACATAACTTTTCGATGTTTTCATATCGATTTTGGATTAGAACGTTACGGAATCGTAACGATTCAGGTCATCAACACGGAGTGGGGAAACTTCTTTTCATCTCATCTACCAAGAACGACGTATGATATCGAGTTGGATGCAGAATCTCTCAATCCAAATGAAATGGTGAGTTCGTCTCGATTGATAGTTAATGATATGTGGACTAAGATGTGTTGGGATGCCATTATTTTACCCGATTTCGACATCAGGCTTACGAGAAAATGATATCCGGGATGTACTTGGGAGAAATCGTTCGGAGAGTGTTGCTTAGGATATCACAAGAATCCGACGAGTTTAGGCAAGCGGCGGATATGTTATCCCGACCATCTATTTTGAGGTTTGCCATTTCATTTTACGAAATCTTTCAATCTTTTATCGTGTCCTAAAACAAAAGCTTATCATGTTGAATCATATATCTTCCCGGTCGTTATTTCATCGTGTGGTACATTACAGCGCTCTTGATATAAAGGCGATGCACCAAGACGAATCCTCCGAACTGAAAGAAGTAGAAGGAATCGTACGAGACCGTCTCCAGGTACGGTTTTCGTTCTTCGATACAACCTGAAAACCACAATATTTGGCTGTCATTTGATATGTTCGAACTAAATCCATTATATCGATCCAAGAATCGATATCACCATCATCATCATCATCATGTGTTCGGATATAAACCTTAGTAATTTGTGATTTCTTTCGGCGATTCAGGTAAATGACGTATCTTTAAGGATGAGAAGAATCGTGGTAAGAGTATGCAATGCAGTGACAAGACGGGCGGGGAGACTCGGGGCGGCAGGAATCGTCGGAATATTGAAGAAGATGGGGAGAGAAGATGGTGAGTCAAAAAGTGTTGTGGCCATTGAAGGAGGCTTATATGCAAATTACGAGAAGCTCAGAGAGTATTTGAGAGAAGCTTTGGAAGAGATCTTAGGACAAGATTATGTCGCCCGAAACGTCATTTTGACGACCACCAAGGATGGTTCGGGGCTCGGGGCCGCCTTACTCGCAGCAGCAGCGGCCGAGTACGTCGGGAAGAAGAATTCACAGTTTGTAACCGTTCTTCATTTCTTCTGTGTTTGCGCATAAGAATGTTTTTCTCTGTTCTATGTTTTTTTTTTGGGGTTATCAAGTTGAAGTTGTTTTTAAGCAGCTTACTGTAGAAATGACTGCAAAATAAAATTAATTTGTGAATTTGGATGGTATGAAATAGGATCTGGTTTTCGGTTTCGGTTTAGGTTCGGTTATTTTTTAATTCTATTTTATGTTGGATTTGATTTTGTTTTTACTTTTCATTTTTTTTATTGATGAAAATGTTGTTACATATATTTTAATTATTATTTTTTTGTTATTGTTGATTTGTCTTTATTTCGAATTAAATTGTTTTTTAAGTTAAAAAGATTGATTTTATTCCATTTTTTATTTAGTAAAAAAACTAATCAATAGTTAATTTCCGAGTAATATTTAATAATTTTAAATAATTAGTTTTGAAGGACATTTTTTATACTAATAAGAAATATAACAATTTAAATAAATGTGAGAATATCATGAAATATTCATAAATGTAAAAAATGTGAGAAATTTTTAGATATAGAGAATTGTTTTAGTTATAATCCAGGAAAAAGGACCAAATCCAAATTTAATTAGAATTAACAAAAACAAAATCCAAACTTAATTAGAAAAGTTCCCATAATGCAAATCCAAAAACCGCCTCGAGAATAGTCCCCATAGTTTTATCCGATTCACGGGAAAATAATATCCGGTTTTGGCAACTTGGATGTTGACTTTTCTTGGCGGGTTTCATCCTCTGTCAAACTTCTATACACACATATATATATATATATACACATGTTTTTTTAATGCATACTCCACGTTTAGAGACATTATCTCTGTGATTGCAACTCTATTGGTAAAAAATATATGGCGGAGATGGAACAGACGGCGACGGAGAGGCTGACGGCGGAGCTGGAGGCGGCATGCGATGCTGACGTGGACACCCTGAGGAAATTGGCGGCGGCGATGGCGGAGGAGATGGAAAAGGGATTGAGATCTGAGGATGAGGCAAAGATCAAGATGCTGATCTCTTTTGTTCATGCTCTTCCTGACTGGTAATTAAATTTCTTTCAATGATTTGGTACTCAACTCAAGTTTTCAAGATTTGGAAATAGGTTTCCTGTTCAGTTGCATTTAAACCCAAATTGGTTCGGGTCCACCGTTTCAAACTGTCAATAAACAATGGTGTGTAGTTTCAGACAGAACAAGCAACTAAATCTCTGAAACTTGTTCGGACATTAACATGTTTCTGTAGCAGCTAAGCCGCCCTTTTGGATCAAACCGAAGCTAATGTACGGAACCATTATCGTGTTTTTTTTTTTTTTTCCTTCAGGAACGCGAAGGGGATTTTCTACGCGCTGGACGTAGGAGGAACCAATTTTAGGATCTTAAGGGTTTCCCTCGGAGGCGAGAGATCGTCTCTAGAGGTTCAGGACATGGACAGACAACATATTCCCCAAGATCTGATGAAAGGAACGAGCGAGGTCGGTTTCTTCAGAGATCTTTACTTTCTTTACAAGTATGTTTTTCATCGGCATTTCGATTCGAAATCCATTCTTGTGTTGCAGGCTTTCTTCGATTTCTTAGCCTCGTCGATAGAGAGATTCGTCGGGAAGGAAGGAAAGGATGCTGTTTCTGATTCGGGAAAAAGGCGGCTCGGGTTCACATTCTCGTTCCCGGTTAAGCAGACGTCTGTTTCGTCCGGGAATCTCATCCGGTGGACAAAAGGGTTCGCGATAAAAGACGCGGTTAGTCGGCCAAGTAACCCTTTCCGTCGTCCTCTCCTCGTAAAAAGACAATGTAGAAACTTCCGATACCGTCATCTTTACGAGCCGTTTCTGTTGAAATCCCGACAGGTGCATGAAGAGGTTTCGGGACTTCTCCAAGCAGCGTTGGACAAGAGACGGGTGAATATGCAGGTCACAGCCCTTGTAAGTATCTCAAACCGGAGCAGCAAAATATTTATTTCCTTACATAGGATTCATATATTGTTTTCGGGATATAAACGTTTGAAGCATCGGACCGTCTTTTTGATGGAAAAAAGGTGAACGATACCGTAGGATCGCTAGCTCTTGCGCATTACCACGATCAAGACACGGTTGCTGCAGTTATTATAGGGACTGGTACCAATGCCGCTTATGTAGAGAAAACCGAAAATATAACAAAGTCTCCCGGGTTGCTCACGCCTTCCGGACAAATGGTACGCTTCCTATCACTACGGAAAACATGATTTTTCGACATTTTGATATCGATTCTGGATCAGAACGTTACGGAATCATAACGATTCAGGTCATCAACACGGAGTGGGGAAACTTCTTTTCGTCTCATCTGCCAAGAACGTCGTATGATATCGAGTTGGATGCAGAATCTCTCAATCCAAATGAAATGGTGAGTTCGTCTCGATTGATAGTTAATGATATGTGGACTAAGATGTGTCAGGATGTCGTTATTTTACCCGATTTCATTATCAGGCTTACGAGAAAATGATATCCGGGATGTACTTGGGAGAAATCGTTCGGAGAGTATTGCTTAGGATCTCACAAGAATCCGACGAGTTTAGGCAAGCGGCGGATATGTTGTCCCGACCCTCTATTTTGAGGTTCGCCATTTCATTTTACGACATCTTTCAGATCGTTAGCGTGTCCAAAAAAGTGCCTATGATATTGAATCGTATATATCTTCCCGATCGTTATTTCGTCGTGTGGTAACGTTACAGTGCTCCTTATATAACGGCGATGCACCAAGACAAATCCTCTGAACTGAAAGAAGTAGAACGGATCCTACGAGACCTTCTCCAGGTAAGGTTTTCGTTCTTCGATACTCAATCTGAAAACCGCAATCTTTGGATCTCATTTGATATGTTCGAATTGAAGTTTGATTAATTTCTTGAATCGAATGATCGAAACCGGAGCACGAAATCCATAATATCGATCCAAGAATCGGTATCGTCATCTTGTTTTCGGATATAAACCTTAGTAGTTTCTTATATATATCTTTCTTTCGGAGATTCAGATAAAGGACGTACCATTAAGGATGAGAAGAATCGTGGTAAGAGTATGCGATGCCGTGACAAGACGGGCGGGGAGACTCGGTGCGGCGGGAATCGCCGGAATATTGAAGAAGATGGGGAGAGAAGAGGGTAATTCAAGAAGTGTTGTGGCCATTGAAGGAGGCTTATACGCAAGTTACAAGAAATTCAGAGAGTATTTGAAAGAAGGTTTGGAAGAGATCTTAGGACGGGATTTTGTCGCCCGGAACGTCGTTTTGAAGATCACCGAGGATGGTTCGGGCCTCGGGGCCGCCTTACTCGCCGCAGCGGCCGCCGAGGAGGTCGGGAAGAAGAGTTCATAGACCGTTAACCGTTCTTCATTTCTTCTGTGTTTATTGCAGAAGAATGTTTTCTCTGTTGTATGTATTTTTTTTGGGTATTAAGTTGAAGTTGTTTTAAGCCGATTACTGTAGAAATTACTGCAAAATAAAATTAATTTATGAATTTAACCAGATTACTGTAAAAATAATTTGGTTCAGGTTCGATTATTTCTCAACTATATCTAATGGAGTTTTTATGTTGGATTCGATTCCTTGTTTTTTTTTTCAGTTCAGATGAAAATGTTGATTTTTAAAGAAATTTTCGATTTATTCATATTTTTTTAGCTATTTTTATATTCTATTTGAATATGTTTGGATTCAAAATTTTCGTTTTTAATAATTTATATAAGTTTTTTAATTAAAATTGTATTATATGGTAAACATGTCGATGTTAATCAGTGTTTTATAACTTATATATTGTAATCATTTGTCTATAATTGCCCAAAACGCCAATTTTCTATAATTTATATATTGTAATCATTTGTCTATAATTTAAATATTTAGAGATAATAATTCCAATACTCAAGCATATCGTTACCATGAGGCTAAACATAATTTTATTTAATACTTTATTTTCACATTTATTTTTTATAAACTTGTTTTTTTTTTTTAATTTTGGACGTGAAATCTGGTTTTGATTTTACAGGTTTGGATATTCTTATAAGTTTAAGCCCAAAAGACGACTCTTGTGACCCACCATCTATCTACCTAAACTTAAGCCTGTTTCGGTGTCTGTTCCCTTCTTTCCCAAACTCTGAAAAACCCTTCTTGTTCTCTCGCGCTCTCTCTATTTCTCTCTCTCTCCGCCTACAATGGCTACCGGCGACAAACCCCACTCCAACACCGGCGACAAGAGTAAGAAGAGGAGACAACGCTATCTCCCTCAAAACGTAATCTCTCTCTCTCTCTCTCTCTCTCTCTCTCTCTCTCTTTCTCTGTCTGTGTGTATGTTATGCATATAGGTATGCATATCCGTGTGGATTCATACAGGGCTAAGATCGTTGCGGTGTTTTCGTTGATTTTTTTTTTGGCAGAAACCAGTGAAGAAGAAAGGTGCGTACCCTTTGAAACCTGGAGTTCAAGGCTTCTTCATCACCTGCGATGGCGGACGAGAGCATCAAGCTGCTCATGAAGCTCTCAACGTCATTGATTCTGTAAGGTTCTATTTAATTTGCTTATGATTTTGATTCGCTTCACCCAATTAGTTGCTCATGCTCACTGCTTAAGAATCCTTCGCGCGTGCTTTTATGTTGTTTTTGGGTTCGTGGGTTTTGCTTTGTTCTGAACGATTGGCTCTGATTCGTGTATGGATCGGAGAATCTGGTTTAAGCGTCTGGTTTTAATTTCTGGATTTTCATTAGAATCTCAACGATTAGATGAATTCATCGAAATCTTTGATGGGCGATTCAAGTTTATAAAGTACGTTGGTTCATCTAGAGTTGAGTGACATAATCCATCAATTTTCTGATTTGTAGCTACCGTTTATCCGCTGCTGTTATAGATAATATTGACGCTAAATCTCTCAAAGTTCGAAAGTTTGTGCCTTTGATGCCGAAATGCAAAGCCAACATACAATGAGATTTCACATTATCTTCCCTGTTTCTGATGCAAAGAAAAGTTCCCATTTTCATGTCATGATACTCGAAAACGGGCTTAGAATTTGTCGAGTTTTTCTAGGTTTTAGTCTTTGAGTGTAAGTCCTGATCTTTGTGAGTAACATTTCCTCCTTTTTTCGCAGTTCTTTGAGGAGCTAATGAATGGGAAAGACTCGGAAGTAAAGCCTTCAGGGTTAACTGAAAGTGCTTCAAACAAAAAAATTACTTTTTCATACAGTGACGAGGAAGACGATGATGATGAGGATCATGACAGTGATGATGGTGATGAAGAGGAAACTAAAGACGAGGGAAAAAAGGAGGAGGGAAGTGAGAGCAACAAGAACGGTGTGGCTGAAGAAAGAGTAGCCAGTGAAAAGTCATGTGAAGAGAAACATGCGGTAGAAAACGTTAATAATGAGAACGATGAAGATCTGGGAAAACAAAAGAACGAAAGTGAGGAGGAGCCTCCGGTAAAGAAGCAGTGTCTTGAGACCAATACATCTGATGACGTAAAACCTGAAAAAACTGAGGAGAAGTCTATTGATAAGTTGATTGAAGCTGAACTTCAAGAACTTGGAGACAAGACTAAGGTCTGCAGAAGTGCCTTCAATAGCTTTGAAATCCTTTGTTCATTATTTTTTGATGCATTCATCTGTGTTCAGTCTTATAATCTTTGATTTTGCAATTTGATTTATGTCTTCTGTGAGCTGACAGAGTATTTCTCGTTTGAACAGAGGCGTTTTATGAAGTTAGATCCGGGTTGCAATGGTCTAGTCTTCATCCAAATGAGAAGGAGAGATGGTGACCCGAAGCCGAAGGAGATTGTGCAGCACATGATGACATCTGCTGCTGCAACAAGAAAGCATATGTCGAGGTTGGTTTACACACTAATAACCCTTCAAAGCGAAAATTCTTTAACCTGTTTCCGTTTCACTTTTTTGTTTTCTCACATGCCTTGTGACATTAGGTTCATCTTAAGAGTTCTGCCGATGGAAGTGTCGTGTTATGCATCAGAGGACGAAATTTCAAGAGCCATAAAACCTCTCGTAGAAGAGTATTTTCCCGTTGAGACCGATAGTCCACGCAAGGTAATAAACCTATTACGTTGGTCCGATTTGTTTACTAGGCATTCATCTATGACGAAGTTTCATCTTTTTCTTTACTACAGTTTGCTGTATTGTACGGGGCTCGGGCCAACACGGGTATTGATAGGATGAAAATTATAAACACGGTTGCAAAATCTGTCCCCGCTCCTCACAAAGTTGATTTGAGCAGTCCGGACATTACAGTCGTGGTCGAAATTGTCAAGGTAAAGGAAAACACCATACTCTGTTTATTCCATTCACATCCTGGTTTCCATCGATCAATCCGATACTTGGTTCGCTTAACCGAACTTACTCGATGTTTGCATAACCGGTTTGGTATGCTGATTCGTTACAGACGGTGTGCTTGATCGGGGTTGTGGAGAAGTACAAGGAGTTGGCAAAGTATAACCTCAGACAGCTTACCTCGACGGCCAAGTGAGAAACTCTCCATCTGCTTTAAGTTGATGTTTCGGACAAGAATGCTTTCTTCTTTGCGCGTCTAATAATCATAATCATATTCTGCTTTACTTATTTGTACTAACATCGTATTACACTTTTGTAATTAGATTTCGTGTTTTTTCGAATATTCCTAAATTTGACATTACAGTTACTTCACGGCCACGTGATAATATTTGTACGAGGTAATTTGCTCGAAAACAAATCCTGAATCCTTAAAGCTTGGAGGTGGGCGTCGGTTAGATATTCCTAAATTTGGATTTTCGATTTCGAATATCTGAGTTTTAGATATGAGTTTTGGGGTATATTTCGTTGGTTAACCAAATGTCAGTGTATCTATTAAAATTGACCAAAAAAAAAAAATCAAATTAAGCAATTCTAAATGAACATTGAACCATAAAATATTAGATGTATAAATGTATTAAATAAGGGGTTGAATAGTTTGTCTACTATTGAGATTTACCTTTGTAGCTTTTACTATATATATTTATATAGTAAAACAATATAGTGTTTTCCTAACGATGTTTTTCTGTTCTGTTCTCTTTTTGGTCCTCCATTAGTATATAGTTATTAAATTCAAAAAAAAAAAAAAAAAAACTGAAACAGTTCGCGTCAAAAAGCCCGAGATCCGAAAACCGACCCGAACCCGTATGTAAAATTTATGGGCTTGGTTTAAAAAAGCCCGGACCGGCCCGTTTGTCTTTTAGGCCGGGACTCGAGTTATTAATGTGATCAGCCTAACAAATCCAGACTAAAGAAACATTTTAAGCCGAAATTTAATATAACTTTGTCAAATGAAAATTGACGTAAAACGGTCCATAATGTCGGGGGTACTTAATAAGAAACAGTTTCACTTAGATTCATAACATAAATCAATGAACGTTACAACAGTTTACTTTAAATGGGCACTGTTTCAAACAAATTATACGCACATATATATGTATATATACACACACACGCACAAGAAGGGCCAAACAGAAGAGTAACAGAGAGGAAAACATATACACAAGCAAGGATCATAAGGATGGCAACCCTTGTCGCTCCTCACCAGTTTCACCCTATGGAAGACGCCGAAAAGATCAAGAAAGCCTGTCAAGGTTCTCGCTTTTCGGGTGTTTTTTTTTTGTAAAGTTCAAGAATTATGGATCCGATCGAGGTTTCGTTTTCTCTCCTTCTTTTGATGGTTTTGATTTCGGTTTCAGGGTTGGGAACCGATGAAAGGGCGATAATATCGATATTAGGACACCGGAATATGTTTCAGAGGAAGCTCATAAGGCAAGCTTACCAAGAACTTTACAGTGAGGATCTCATTCACCAGATGAAATCCGAGCTCTCTGGCGATTTTGAGGTTTGATAACTCATTATTCAAATACGATAACTGTATCTTTCCATATCCTAACAACCTCGGTAAATCGATGCACAACGTCGATAAAAAAGGATTTGATATATGTTACCTGCAGAAAGCCATATGCTTGTGGGTAATGGATCCACCAGAGAGAGATGCTGTCTTAGCCAACTCGGCCATTCATAAGCCTGTTCCTGACTATAAGGCCCTCGTAGAGATTTCCTGCATGAGATCACCCGAAGATCTGTTAGCCGTTAGACGTTATTACCAAACACGTTACAAGCGTTCCCTCGAGGAAGATCTCGCCTCCCATACGTCTGGCGATATCAGGAGAGTACGTAAGAATATACTTTTTTTTTGAAAAAAATGTTTCTTGCATCATTGATTGTATCCCTTTTGGTTTTTGATGCAGCTCTTGGTAGCAATGTCAAGCGCCTATAAGTACGACGGAGACGAAATGGACGAGATGTTGGCTCAGTCAGAGGCCGGGATTCTTCACGACGAGATCGTGGGTAAGGCTGTTGACCACGAAGAAACTATCCGGGTTCTGAGCACGAGGAGTACGACACAGCTTAACGCAATCTTCAACCGCTACAAAGATATCTACGGCCGATCTGTCACTAAGGTAAGAAAACTAAAAGAGGGACACATGGATATTCATCTAGGACAGAAAATAAACCACTCTTACCAGTTTGTCATGAAGAGGTTGTCCTTGTTTTTCCATGCCTGTTGATGTTTTCAGGATCTTCTCAATCACCCGACCGATGATTACCTAAGCACGCTGCGTGCGGCCATCAGGTGTATCAAGAATCCAAATCGGTACTACGCGAAAGTAAGACATTACAGATCAAGAAAACTTAGAATATCCTTCAACTGCTGGAAATAATGAAGGGTTTCAGTTTAGTTTTCTTTAACTAGAAAACGGAAGATCTATCGGAATAAAACTAAGACTCTTCATAATTCGGAATATCAAGGGTTCAAATCAAATCAAGGCAGTTCCCTATAAATCTTGCGAAAGATGACTAATGAGGGAATTTGTTTTCACGGAACTCTCACTCAGGTTTTGCGGAATGCGATCAATGAGGTGGGGACTGATGAAGATGCTTTGAGCCGTGTGATCGTCACGCGTGCGGAGAAGGACCTGAAGAAGATCGACGAGTTGTACCTCAAGAGGAACAATGCCAGTCTCCTTCAATCCGTGGCGAAAGAGACGTCCGGTGACTACAAGGCCTTTCTGCTGGCCTTGCTTGGAACTGAAGAGAATTAGGACTCATAATCAGCTATAAAATATATATATATATATATATATATATATCTTTGTTCCAAGAATAAATTATCTTATTTTTTTCTCTGTAATTTGTACTGTATATATAGTATATACACTATTTACCTCTTGTTAAGATTTTAGACGGGTTTGCAACTTTGGCGAGAAATTGTCTGATTGACCGTATTTACCAAAATGCCGCATTCCACTTTTGCCTGCTCATCACGTACGTATGTATGTATGTGTCACTATTTACAAGGTATATATATATATACATATAACCAGATATAGAAAATATCATATGATTTACATACTAAATTTATCATTTATATTAATAATGCATAAAACCAAATTAAATGATTGAAATCTTCCCGGCTCTTTACATAAAAAGGTTGACTTTGACTTTTGGCTTTGAAGTACCTTCAAAGGGAAACGGAGGAACATGATCCCGAGCTTTCCGCTCGTCTCCGTTACGGTGTCAAACTCGATGGAGCCCTTAGCCAAGTCGCGGATCAGGTGGATGACGTCAGGGAACACCGCCACGCCGTTAAGCTCCGTTATATATATATATAAGAGCTAGCATATATAGTCTCTTAATTTGTAGAAGCTAAAGTAATAATAAAACCCTCATCTGATGTTTTCATGACCAGTTCTGTTGATTTTGGCTTCATACTGAAATTAGAAATTTTAAAATCTGTCTGAAAAGAAACAAAGCAAACTCACTGAAACATATTCATGCAAAGAATCTTGTCTTAATCTTTCCTTAAACAGAAAGATTGATATAAAGATTTTTACTTTGTGGAAACTTAACAAAAAGATGAGCAGAGTTGACAAATTTTGGCATTCCGGAAATATTACTTATTTCATACATATATATTTGTTTTTCCCTTTTTAGATGAACTTCTTCTTCCTCGTATAAATCTGCGCATGCTCCTCTCTCTCCCTGGAGTTTTTCTTCATCAACATATATTATTGCATATCGCAGAATTGTTAAGTGAAATTAAGAAAAAGCAGCCATGAAGATGCTTTCGGTTATGGCTGTGGTCTTGTTGCTTCTGTTCATTCCTTACGGTAAGTTCTTCCTCGTGAATCTTCGTATTTCTCGTTCCGGATTCGATTTCTCCTTACATGGAAATTGAATTTCTGGTTTCATTTTCATGATCATATTACTGCTCCGTTCTCAAGCTTGGATCATTCTGGTGGTATTTTCACATACATGTATATATATATATATATATATATATATATATATATATATATATAACTTTAAACCTTA